AGCTTCAGGCTGATGCCATCAACATGTTTGGAGAATCACTACAAAAGAAGCTTTTGGACATCGAAAGATTATATTCAAAAGTCCGATCTCGCTATAGTTTTGTACAGGCTCTTGTCAGGCGTATTGGCGGCCTACTGAGGTTATCAAGGAATTGAGAGCCTGCATCTAGTACATTTCTATGGAAAAGATGAATTGTGGAAAATGGTCTCCTTTTTATAGATTACTTTGTTTCTAAATTATGACCAAAAGTATTTTGCTATTTCTTTATATATGGAATCTTTTCTGTAAATGTCTTTTCCTGATTTTATCCTCACTAGTAAAAAATAAATACTTTTAAAAAAAAGGAAATACATTGTTAGTTTTTTGAAATTTTATTTAGGAAGTGATCATTATCATTGGGAAACTAACAAATATTTTACATGAATGGTTTTCTCCTAGAAATACTCTGAATGCTAAATTAAAGGCATAGTCTGGAAATGCTGATATTTGTTACCTTTTACATCACATTTTGACACTTTTCTCCCACACTCCATGGGGTAGAGTGGATAGTAAACTATAGCTGTGCCCTGCCATCTACCAGCTGCCTCAAAATATACTATGGACATATCTGAAAAAATTAAGCCATCTCTCTCAAATAATTAGCTTTTGCCATTTTTCTGTTTTTAATGGTTTTTTTTGAGGCAGGGTCTCCCTTTGTAATTCAGGCTAGCCCTGAACTCACTTTGTGGCCCAGGCTGGCCTCAAACTCATGATGATTCTCCTGCCTCAGCCTCCTGGGTGCTGGGGTTACAGGCAGGTACCACCATGCCCAGTTCTTTTTGCCTTTTTTTTTGCATTAAATGATGATTTGGTAATTTGCATTTATAGAAGTGGTTGTAAAATTAGTCTGCCTGTATTTCTTATTATTATGATGGCTACCAATAGGGCAAAAAACTTACAACCTCCACTCTATTTCTTCGCCGATTATATTTAAAATGCAGTGACTGTGTCATCTGAAAGTGTGTTTTCCCTTTCCAGCCAGTAGTTACTCTACCCTAGTTCACAGGAAACACTGCGGAGAAGGGACAGAACTTTGACTCTCATGTAGAAACAAAATTAACTCGTAGGTCCATGGTGCTGTACTGTTGCACTTTTTTCTTCTCTTTAATCTTAAAATTTCCATAGTTTTTAAGCATCTTTTGAAATAGGCTTTAATCATTGTTATGTTTTTAAATTAGTTCACTGCCTACTAGTTGTAAACGTTAGTCTGGCTGGAAAGCATCCTGTCAGTAAATAGATGTCTTGGAGGGAAATGAATAAAGATGTAATCGGATCAAAATAGAATCCTTGTGCCTGCTGCTCTACTTGAGCCTAGAGCAAACATTATTTGTTTTGTTTGTTTGCAGTGCTGGGGATCAAACCCAGGGTCTCATGCCGCTGGGCAAGCGTTTTTCCCCTGAGCTGCACCCCCAGCCCACAGGGAGTAATCTTAGCTAGGATATGGGCTCCAATCCAGCAATAGTCAACAAGAGCCAAAACTCTATAAACCTCTGGTGTGAAGTCTTCCACAGAAAATTTTAGCCAAATTTGGAACTAAGAATTTTGGATTTAGTAAACACAATTATCTTGTTTTCCCATAATTTCTTCCAAACGTGCAGCTGACTGGATTGGAAGCTGGGGCATTGCCGAGGCACATGGGAGGAGTGCACTGCTGTGCTTGCTGACTGGAAGTGCTGTCCTCAGAGGGCCTGACATACTTGTCACCTGGTCATGGAACCGTGTTAGGTACTTCAGAGGCTCTTCATCGAGGCAAAGTGAGAAAGCCAAGTTTCTTAGAGACCCAAAAAATTTTAGCATTGAAAGGAAAGGCTTATCTTACCCATTCCTCAAAAATAATAAATAAATGTAGGATTTTAACTGAGTTGATCAGTTTGTTGAGGTTGGGAAATCAGAAGGAGGTATATTCTCTTGCTAGTCATCACTGTAGTTTGGCTAAATTGATACATTTCTTATCTGTGCTGTACAGGCTATGAAGACTCAACCTAGCCTTTTCTAAATATTGTTTCCCTAACTTTGAAGAATTTTGAAATCTTCAGATGAATTGAAAGCATAGTATGAAATCATATGTATCGACCTTTCAGATAGATACCATCTGCCAACAGCTTGCACACTGCTGTATCTTTTTAGATGTGAACATGTACCTTTTTTCTTCTTTAGGTTGTAATCTCATGGCACTCTAATCTTAAATATTTTAGTAAGAATAAGCATAGCTTCTTCCCTAACAACAAAAGTCATATTTAAGACATTTGATAAAATAAAATTTTCTAATATCCCATCTATACCAAGTTTCTTCAGCTGTCTCAAAAATGTACTTTAGAACATTTTAGGGTGACATTTTAGCTAACTTTAAAAAGCTTCCATATCTTATTTATTTGATCAGATTTAATGTTTACTTTTTTGGTCACAGTTAAGCTGTAGAGGTGACACTGCACTTTTTGTATATTATATCAGGAGGTAATACCAGTGTGTTTCGTGATGCTGTGACTGAACACTTGGGCAAGGTGGTGTTGACACATTGTGATTTGTTCTTTTATTTGATTTTATTTTTTCCTGATTGAGTTTATTGGTACATTTTAGGTATACAGTACAGTTACATTCATCATTGGGATCTTGTACCTTTACATGACAGGTCTTGGTTCTCATTTTTTCCCCTTGTCCCTGCCCTCCCTTCACCCCCTCCTCCCCTCCCCATTTACAAACATTTTATTTCCATTTTTTCATTTTCTCTTTTTTTTTCTTTCCCTCATTACCTTTCCCCTACCCTTCCCACTTTCCCTACACCTTTAGCCCTTTTCCTACTATTTCACATTGTCAATTATCTCATTAGGATCTTATGTACGACTATAGTTTGTTCACACCTGAGAAACTATTCGGTATTTACACATGTGTGATTTATTTATTTCACTTAGGAGTATATCCTCAGTATGTTGTGATTTAAAGGTTATCTGTTTTCCAATCCAGTAAGTGACTTAGAGAGTGAATCTCATTCCCAGAAAACCTTTCCACCATTGCTTTAATCATTTCTATTAAAATATTTGGAAAATCATGTTGTTTCATTCATACAAATATAATCAGCACCAGCCTGGCAAGAGCAAGGTCCTGAGTTTGATTCTCTGTACAAAACAAAAACACAGCAATATAATAAACCTCCAGATATTTTCTTTCATGTCAAACCTAATTTCATCAAATCTTAAAATTACTGCATTCCTTGATCGTGTGTGCTCTTCATGTTTTATCTAAACTTTTCCTACAAAGAGATCATACAGATCTCTGTTAGTTGATCAGAGAGAAGCAGTGGAGCAGATATATGCAGAAAACACGAATATAGAATATGCTGTTTAAATTCTTGCAGCTTTCCCATACCCTTTGTCCATCATATCAATATAGTGCATTCCCAATTGGTTTAAGCTAATACGATTTAGTTTTCTATTATTTGAAGCCAGAGTTGTACTCATATTAATTAGTAGATAAGTGAATTCAGGAATGGGGAAGTAGGGTGTTATTGTTGTGCCCAGATCGCGAAGTCCCCACAGACCATGTAAATGCACATGAGGAGTTATGTGCAAGCTCGAGCCTGGCTTCTCGTACCCCACCGGTACGGTGGTTCCGTATCGAGAGTCCAGACCCCCTTCTAAAACATACATTTATAGGGTTTGGGGGGCTTGAAATCCTCTCTTTTTCATTGGTGCTATTTTCTATTTTTCATTTTTATTGGGTGTTGCTGGGCACTTGAGCGGGAAGAAAACTTATCTCGGGGTGGGGATGGGGCTAGTTCTTTGTTAGGGAAGTTACCTTTTAGATTCATTTAACTGCCTACTCTAGCCAGGGGGGAGGGAGCTTGTTTGATTAACAAAGCTAACTTGTTTCTTTTCACTTACAAACTTTTGTGAGGAGACTAGTTGTCTCCCGGTACCGGTTAATTCTGAACTAAGCAGGGTGAGGGGCAGAAGTTATTGTGACATTTCCTAGCTTTGCGCGTAGCCAATGAGGTTTATCCGAGGCGCGATTATTGCTAATTGAAAACTTTTTCCTAAATTTTCACTTATTAAGGTTTTTCCTATCATAGGATCCTCAGTACCAAACTCTTGCTAAGCGAATTCCCGCAGTTTACCTAGGAGTCACATCTTACATGAGATGGCTTTCTGTCTTAGGATGGAGTTATTCCGATTTTAGCACTATAGCATCAGGTGTTTGTGTGGTGGTGGGGCGTTTTGAAGGACTTTAAGACCAGGAGCAGGAGGTGGCCAGCAGTGTGACTGGGGAAGGCAGCTCTCTGTTAAAAAGGGGAGCTGGGGGTGTGGGGCGTCTGGATTTATCTCAGTGGTTCTGCTGCATGCCTCCTAAGAGCAAGGACCTGAGTTCGATCCCCAGTACCAAAAACAAACAAACAAACTGGGAGAGGCCCCCGGGAAGAGCCCGCTGTCCAAACAGATCCCTCAGCTGATCTCATCTGGCTCCCACAATAGTTTCCCTACAGAGGCAGAAACCGATCTTTATAGAGAGGTTAGGTTGCTGCTCAAGGCTACCAGGCAGTTCAAGACCATCAGGATTTGGACCTAGTTGTACCAGATAACCAGAGGCCTCTATCCTAGCAATTAAACATCTGACCTCTGACCTTTACCATGGGTCCTCAACTCAGCCGCACAACACGCTCCCGGAGCTTTTGGAAAATACAACTCTCTCCCTTTCCCTCGGAGCCCGCGTGGGACTAGCTAGGGTCGGCCTTGCAAAGGTTCTCAGGCGATTTAGCTGCGCAACCCAGGGATGCGACCCGCCGCTTTATCCCGTCTCCTGGGTCAGACAGCCCTAAACCTAGCTGTGCAGCAGAATCGCTGAGTCTTGGAATAATACAGATTGATGTGCAAAGCGGCCCAGCCAGGCCTGTACTTTGCTGCTCGCTGGCCGGGCTCAGGCGACCACCCCGGAGCTCTGCGCCAGGGCACCACGAGCCGCTTCCGGGCATGGGAAAGGCCGGGGTGAGTTTCCGCCCTCGCGCCGGGGAGGCAGCCGGAGTAACTCCTGTAACTGTGGCGGTCCTGGGCGCCCTCCTGGCTCTCCCCGCCGACAACATGCTCCAGTTCCTGGTGAGTGGATCCCTGTGGGGCTCTCTTGTGTCTCCTCCAGGTCCCTCGTCAGTGTTTATCTGCAGGCGTCCAGGTTCTTGGGACGTGGGAGGGTCGGGCGAGTGTGTCGCACCCGGCGCTGTGCGTCCCGGTGACACGGCGAGAGCCCCGGGCCGCCGACGGCTGCAGGTGGCAGCACCACAGAGCTAAATCCCCGGCACATTTTTTTTTCCTTTTCTTATATTTTTTCGTTTCCCTTCTTTCCTTTCTTGTACCCCTCCCAGTTCCCCTACTCCTTTATACCTTTCTTCCTTTTCACATTATCAGTTACACATTTCGATCCTTATTTACACTTTCAGGGGAACAACAGTTTTTTTTGGGAGGGGGTGAGTATTACCGTAAGATTATTTCTCATGGCTTCTCGAGTTAAAAACCCCTCTTCTGGCAATTGCCTAGTGAGTGTTCCAGCGGATTTACCATTTTCAATGAAAGTTTTTCTACCGTGTTACTGTGCAGTTAAAAAACTTGACTCTTTCAACCTCTAATGAGGCAGATACTATCTTTCAGGTGGTTAGTGAAGACCTGGTGCTCTAAGAATGAGTTGCTTTCTCAAATGTCCTTTTGAAACAGAGATTGATGGTTAAATTTCCTTGACATAATATGCCTAATTAAGACTTTGCTGCTCTTTTCCCTCTGGGAGTTTCCTCAGAGCCCTAGCTAGATTTCAGGAATAATTGTGATCATTACTTGCAGGAATGTTAGTTAAAAGCAGTAGCAGCCCCCAGGTGTGAGATAATATAATTGAATGTCCTGCTAGTACATCTGTTGCTCATTGATAAACTGAGAGGGCATTCATTTAGTTAACTTTAGTTTTTGCAGAATGAATTTATTTGGAACTATTGCTATATAAAAATATGATTTATATTTGAGATTGAGAATTCACAAAATTTTCATCATTTAAGAGATGCCAAACAAATTAGTGTATATATTGCAGTATTTTTTTTAAAAGGAATATGTAATTTGGGAAAGTATTTGAACTTTTCCCTACTTTCTATGTATCTCTCATATAACAGAAACTGGTATTTGAGCTGTGTGTTTATGTCTGACTTCACTTTATGTTCTCAAGTTGCATTCATTTACCTATGAATGCCTCAAGTTTGTCTATCTTTATGGCAGTGTAGTACTCCATTTTATTGAAAAGAAAGTTTGTGTTATCTGTTTCTTTTTTGTAAAAATCATTTTGGTTCATGTTTTGTACTGAATAATTTGAAGGTAATGATACACATGTAATAACTATTGTTATTCTCATCATTTGGTTATGAAAATTTGTTTATTCATAAAATAGAGATACTGAAGCTGTTAATTAAATTCCTAGCTTAAAGTAAAACACTGGCCAGCGTGTTGTAGTGTTGAATAAGTGGCCAGACTCTAGAATCAGATTTGTGTTTGTACCCTGCCTCCATTATGTTCAAGCTGTGGAAGTTTGCGCAGGTTATTTAAATTTTCTGTGTTTTCATTATCCACATCAGCACAAAGGAACTCACCTCATGGTTTTGTTGTGAGGATTAAAATGAGAAGTTAATCCATTAAATACTTAAAAGCATTGGTACTTACTAAGGATTCAGATGTTGTTCATGTTCTCTTTTGTAAGGTGTCACTGAACTCTGATTTTGATTCTTCTCAAAAGTGAGGATTAGCATCACTTAGAAGGGCAGTTGACAGGAGAGGTTTGGAAGGGGTGACAGTAGCAAGTTAAGTCTGTCATCACACCTTTGGAGACCTGTAAGATGAGCACCAGTGGGTCCACTACTCTTGACTGCTTGTATAGTCTTTTCTTTCATTGACCTTTTTCCTTGGATTAAAATATTTGTCCATCATTGCTATTTTTTTTTTCCAGCTTTAATTGAGTTTATTGGTACATTTTAGGGTAGTACAGTTATATTCATTGTTGGGATCTTGTACCTCTACATGACAAGTCTTGATTCTCATTTTTTCCCCTTACCTCTGCCCTCCCTTCACCCCCCATCATTGCTATTTCAACAGCTTGTTTGTAGCGTAACTTCAGTTGTCTTAAGAGAGCTTTTCAAGGAAAAGGGCTTTGTGTTGTACCTGTGGCACTGTTACTGTTGCCCATTGTCACTGCTCTTACCCCTTTGTTGCACTTGGTATTCAACCCCCTCATTTTTAATTGCTCCTGCTTTGGCTTTAGGATCCCATGTCTGGTACTGTCACACAGTTGTTTATGTTATAATGTGGCAAAATTACTTTTTAAGGAAAAACTTGGACTGAGTGAAGGTGACTGGCCCTAGTGGGACTGCCGGGTCATATCAGGGTGCACCAGTTGGGAAACAGCTGTATCTAATCTCTCCTGTTTTTACTAGTCAGTTTTCTCTGCTCTTGGTTACTGTGTTGCTCAAGGCTCAGTTCTTGAGCCCTCCCCCCAACTTAGCCTAAGTGACTGGGTTGTTTGTTACCCGTCAATTTACACCTCTTTGCGATAGCTTCCAAAATGACTTTGGGCTCCTGTTCCCTGGTATCAACCAGTAACTGAGCATGTTTGGACATATTATCTCTTCCTTCCAGTCTCTATCGCTGCCTAATTTCTTTCTGCTCCAGCTCAGAATCTCCTAAACTGTAAACGTTGACATAATCTTTGATTTCTTTCTTTCATTCTCTGTCATTTCCCTGCCTTGGGCCTGGCACATAATTTTACCTATTGTACAATCTTGGGCAAATTCCTTAATGGCTTTGTTCCTCATTTTCTTAATATATTACTGGGCAGTGATAATACCTGCTTTATAAGGAGAATATTACCTTACATATGGTAGGTATTTGATAAATGTTATTTTGGAAGTCGTCTTAAGACTTGTTCATTATGCAACGTTCTCTTCCCACTGCTAACTTCACAGAGTGGGAACTTTTCACCCTTCCTCTCATACTAGCTTCACTGTGTTAGATGATGTAGGTTTTAGGTTTTGAGTTGAGGGTTACTTTAGGTTTTCCAGTTAATATGCTGATGCTTGAGTCTGCACTAAGGGCCCTAGTATGGGGACATATAAGCGCTTAGTCATTACTTTGTGATTAATTTAATTTACAGCAGATAGTTCAATATCTACACTTCATATTTGCAGATTCAGTCAACTGTGGATTGAAAATACAGTGGACCCTCAAGTTACGATCAACCTCATATAGGAACAACTTGGGTTACAACCAGAATTTTAGTTTTAGTTTACGACCAAAGTCTTGAGTTATAACCCAAATGCCAGCCACTTATATGGTTGTAAACAAAGACTCTCACTGCCAGAAAAGTGTATATAAGCATACATTAGCATCAGTCTGAGCCCAGATGTGTATGTTTGTGGATGTGATTTTGGTGTTTTATATAATCACTATGATTACTGCTATCAAAATTGCACCCAAAAAGCTAAAAAAGACGATGAAGAAGAAAGAGAAGGTAAAGCAATCACAATTGAAAAAAGGAAATATGAGAGTCACATTCATATGACTGATCTATCTCACTTATATGTGCAGCATGTCAAAACCCATCTCAACAATCTTACAGAGAAAAAATTTGTATAAGGAGGCTAGTGTTGTTAAAGATGTTACTCAAATTAGTAAGTTATGATCAACAGTATTAGACAAGGTAGAACGGCTATTATTAGTGTGTATAAACAAAAGGCATATGGCCAAATCTATAATTTGTGAAAAAGCTAGAGCTATAAATGCAGATATGGTAAAGGAAAATCCATCAGTGAGTGGCAGTAAGGGGTGATTTCACAATTTTAAAGCAATAATTGGGGCTCATAGCATAACTAGGCATGGCGAAACAGCAGTGATGATAAAAGAGCTACTGAAAATTACATACACAACTTTGAAATGATGTCACAGAAAAATGACATTTGCTCTCATTAAGTTTTCAAATGTGATAAAATTGTCCTTTTCTGGAAGAAAATGCCCAGGAGAACAAACATTACCCAGGATGAGAGGAAAATGGCCTAAAAAAGTATGGCCTAAAATTATACAGGAAAGAGACACTTTGAAGGCTGTGTGGAGGATCCTGACCCTTCAGTAGTTCTTGTGGTTGATAACTTTGTTACTATAGCAGAGTCCATAGGCTTACAGGTTAGACAGTGATGAAATTAAAGAACTGATGGAGAAACACTCAGGAATTATCTAAAGTGGAACTTCTGGCTGAGCAACAGCGAATGGCAGCTGAAAAGCTTTCTGAGGAGGAGGGGGGAGTATCAACAATCAGTGCAGCAAAGTTCTTCTGAAATAAAAGAAATTCTAAAAAAAATGGACAGAGCTACAAACATTTGTAGAGAAGGCCCATCTAAACAGAAAAAGCCAATTGTTGTATTCACTTGCTTAATGACAATGTAATGTCGCTCCAGAGAACAATGTTAAAGAAAAGACAGAAACAGACAACCTTAGACCAGTTTTTAGTTCTGAAAAGGTTGAGACCTAGTGAGCCACAAGCCAGTCCTAGTGGGCTACAGACTTTCTCAAGGAGAGAAAGGACACCAGAGAGCCAGATTCCTGATGTTCTTATTGAAGGGTATTCTTCTTCCAAACAATAACCACCTTCTGTTTCATCCTCTCTTCCTGCAAGCTAAGGAGGTCAACTTGAATGGTGAATACAGTATGAAAATGTTGTTTCTGGTAAATGAGGCACATTTCATAATTTTTGGTGAATACACTAGGAAAATTATTGGTGTTTCTGGTAAATTCCACACATTATATGACCCTTTTTATTATTAAAAGGTTAGTTAAAGGGTGCTTTAGGAGGTTTGGAATGCATTATGGATATTTCCATTATTTCTTATGGGAAAAATAGTCTTGATTTACAACTAACTTGAGTTCATAAATCAAGGGTCTACTGTATTTGAAACAAAATACATTTTTTTCTTGTCATTATTCCTAAATAATACAGCAGAATAACTATTTCCATAGCATTTGCATTGTAATAGATATAAATACTCCAGAGATAATTTGAAGTATATGGAAGCATGTGTGTAGGT